TAATCCTTTTCTGTATATTTGGATTTTATATTCTTCTGGATATTCATTTTCAGGATCTACTTTATGAAGTAGATTGATGAATTTATCTGTGTATTTTTCTATGGTACCAGTCTATTGTAAGGTTTCAATTTCATCTTGCCATTGATCAATTCTTTCTTGAATACAGAATTAGGTTGCAAATTGATGACTGAAACTGTGTGATAGATCTTAATCATCATTCCAGGCTATTAATCAGGTAGCATTATCTCTTCCTCTTTCATCATATCATAAGACAGTAGTATCTTCTAGATATCCTCTAACTAATTGTACTTTTCTAGTATTAGTGATTCCATTAGCTTGGGTGACAATATTAAAGTCTTTTAGCCACTCAGTAGAATCTTGATCATTTTCTTGGTATTTCCTGATTGGAATAATAATCTTTTCCATAGGCTGAGCATTCTGATCAGCTATTTGATCAGCTAATACTCCAAGAGCTTAAATGAGATTATTCAGGTTAGTATTATTATTTTGTTATGCCATTAGATTATCTTCTTCTTCTGATGATTGATTATTATCTTCTAATTCTGTTTAATTATCTTCTTCTAAATTTGAAGAATTACTATTTTCTTCTGACTCTGTATTCTGTACTGGGAAAATAGGGATATCTTTTGAGTTTTTGGTTTCTGAATAGTATCTGTCAGTATCACTATTAACAGATAGGGTTCTTGGTTAAAAAGTAAAGTCTTGATGGATAAACTATTAATAAAATTATTTAATTAAATCAAGTTGTTCTTTTTGAGTATTAATACGATTAAAGATGAAGATATTTACTAGTTATACTATTCTTTGTTTTAATTAGCTTATATGTATTTCAGTAAGATCAAGTTGAATTAGTTCTTGAAATAACAGATATATGATTTAACTTCAATATGTTCTGTAAGTAAACAAAAAGTGAAAAATTATAATAATAAATTAGATTGAAGAGAATGATAATAAGAGCAAAAGTCTTGAGGGGATATTCTAATAAGATAATTAAGAGTTTGATATATCTCAAGATGATAATTAATAGATAATCTAATAAAAGAATAATAATTGGTCATGAAAATTCAAGACTCAAAATATTTATCAATTATGGACAAAGAAAGAAAAGGATATAATAAAGGAATATAAAAAGGATATAAATATAAAAAGAGATGTGAAGGAGATTTTTCTCCACAGAAGGGGTACCAAAAATATGTTACAATGAATTGATAAGTAAATTTTTACTTTAATTCATCCTAATAATATAGAATTAGAAGAGACTAAAATAATTAAAGGTAAAGAGAGGAAAATTAGACTATACTTTCAATAATGACAAAAATTTCTAAGGCCTGTACCAATATTTATGAATATTGTCTTAACTAAAGATGACGCCTCAACTGTTATAATGTGATGATAAATAAAGTATCACCTAGTTGCAACTAGTTATGACTTATAAAATTTTGGAATTACAACGTGTTGTAATAGATGATAAATAAGTGTCACATACTTACTGCATCATCTTTAGTCTTAACAAAGAGTAATAAAATAAATAAAAAAATAAATAAATCAAAGAAATTATAAAGATTATCTGAGTGAAATTACTAGTAATTGATATAATTCAAGATTTGAATTGATTAAATAGTATAAACTATTAATCAAAGAAGATTATAATTAAAGTAAAGGTAAAAATCAAAATATGAAAACTAAATAATTAAACAAATAAAAATGTATAGCTTATTTATAATAGAGATCTTCTACTCTCAAAAACAATAAAAGAAATAAAATAAAAAGTGTGACTTATTTATAGTAGAGATCTTCTACTCTCAAAACAATATCAAAAATCAAAAATTAATATAACGTTATAATTCAAAAATTCAAAATCAACTTTATATGGTTAAAGAAATAAAATTGAGTTCAAGATAGAATACTAGTATAATCAAATTATACTTTTCAAACAATTCAAACAAAACTATGAAAGAGTACTAATATAATTTATACTTTCCAAATAATTCTTTCAAAACTATTTATTTTAGCTGGGATAGCAGATTCTTTTATATATTTTTCAGATACAAAATTATTATAGTATTATTAACTAATACTATCTAATATATAATATATAATTAAAGTACTATAATATAAATAATTATGAGTAGATTACATCAAAGTATATTGAAAGATGTTAAAGAACATTGAAGAATATCAAAGTACATGAAAGGATGTTAAAAGATGTGAAAAGATGTAAGAAGATGTGAGAAGATGTTGAAAGATGTGAAAAGATATTTGAGATCATCATCCAAGTATAACTGTTCTACCAAAATTAAAAATAATCTTCCACTATACTATTCTACTATGTACATAAATATTGTAATACAAAATAATAAAAATATAGATCCCAAATATTAAATAAAATGTAATATTAAAAATAGAAACATGATAATAAATATAGTAATAAATGATATAGAAAATAGAGACAATTATAAAATAAATAAAATTATAATAAAATATAATATTTCATAACTAGAAAAAGATTAAAGAATTAAGGAATTTTATGTCACTATGGTAATAATAGGAGTTTAGTTTATATAAAAACTTATAAAGTATGAATATTTTATAAAAGAAGTATATTTTTATTATTATTATAATTAAAAATAATAAAAAAATTAATTGATAAATAAAATAATAATAAAAGTAAAAGAATTTTATATATAATATAAAAATATGAATTCTATAAGAATTTTATAAAGATCTCTTTAGATCAAAAAATAATTATTTATAATTTATTATTATAATAACATTCTTTAGAATATCAAGAAAGAATATTTAGAAAGAATTTTGATAATTAAGAGAAGATAATACTAATACTAATATCACAAAATAGAAATTTTATAATTATTTCTATTTTAGAGACATAAAGATTTGAATTATTAAATATCTCATAAATATAAAACTTTTATTTTATTTTATAAAAATAATAATCACAGGATTTTTTATTATAATAATAATATATATATATACTTACTAGATAAAAATATCAAATCAAATATGAATATTATACAAAATAATAAAAATATTGATGTCTTTATTATATAATAAAATAGGAATATACTAATATAAATTGCAAAATTTTATATTATTCAAATCAAAATATAAATTTTTTATTAATAATCTTAATATTATATTGTATTATCTTTATTTTTAATTACAGTCTGAACTCTTGTGTTATATATTTCACTAATTTTTCTAAATAATTTATATCTATTTTTACTTACTCTTTCTTCAAAGTCATAGATAATTCCTGCTTATTTTTGAAATGAGACTATCTTTTGTGAACTGCTTTTTCTAGATAATCCCAAATATGCTCAATTGGATTAAGATCTGGGCTCTGAGTGAATCATGAAAGTGAAGTAATTAAATTTTCTTCTTTTCACTGATATATCAGTCTTGATTGATGAATTGGGCAATTATTATCCTGAAAAGTATATAAATTTAGTTCCAATTCATTCAAGAATGGCAAGAGACTATTTCTAAGCAGTTCTATATAGTGAGAACTATTTATTTTTCCTTTAATTATGTCTAAAATTTCAAGCCTATTATTAAAAAAACAGTTTCATACCATAATACCATCTTCACCATGTTTAACAGTTGAAATAAGGCAGTCAACAGCATATTTTTCTTTTGGCTGATGCCAGACTGTTTTGTGAGCATTATTTTGAAATAGGCAGAAATGAGATTTATCATTCCAATAATTGTTTTAAATTCAGCAACCCAATTTTGTCTTTCTTTACATCATTCAGAGTGTTTTTTCTGATTTGTTTCAGAAATAAAAAATTTTTTTACTTCAACAAGGCTATGAAAACCTAATTCATGGAGGTGATGATTGATCATTTTGGAACTGACTGGTACAGTTGACATCTCATTAATTGATTGAGCAAGCTCATCTAACGTAATTTGCCTATTTTTTACTACCTCTTTTGACAATTGTCTAAGATTATGCTCTGTCAAAACTTTTGGCTGACCATTTCGAGGTTTAATGGTCACCTGTTGTTCTTTCCAAAATGTGTCAATGGCTCGAAAAACCTGTGCTTGAGTGTGACCAAGGTCTTCCGCAATCTCGCGGGTGGTTTTCTTGCACTTCCAGTAACCGATAATCCTACCTCGTTCAAAATCGGTCAATTCTCGATCTAATGGCATTTTTTGAAAACTATAAGTAATTACTAAAGTATTGATGGATTATAGGACAAAAATTAACACGTTTGAACAAGTATTGAGCTCACAATCGTTGTTTGAAGTTTGTTTATGTTATCGATTTTTTGTGTAACAGATCGGCTGATTCGATACTTTTGTCATAATGTTAAAGTAAAATATATGAATAACATAATTGCAAGTTATTCAAAATCTCTTATATTAAAAAATTGATGCAAATTTGATTTTCGCCTTGACTGTATGAAATTTAGATTATATCTGAGATGCCTACGTATTAAAATGTATGAAAGATCTTGTCCGATTCGAGCAAAAATTCTAACTGCATTTGTGTAAGAACTGTACGCTGAGAGATTGCGTCCTAAATTTGGCTGATTCATCTTATTTACATGTAGTTTATAAAAAAAAGGTGATTTTATGATTTTCTTTTTTTCTGAATAAGAGATCTCTTGTGATTATAGAGAGGTTTTCTATTTAAAAAATTTGGGCGCTTGAGTAATTTACAATGACAGTTCGAATTGTCGCGTGACGTATATGTCTAAATACAAAAATATATTAAATATGTTTAAGATGATTCATTAAAATAATAACAATAAATTGAAAAACCAATAAATACCATCCGGTAATCTGGTAATCTGCATAGAAGTAAGCCCTAGAAAAAAAAATTCTTATTTCATAATCAATGTTAAGTAATATAAATCCAAAAGAAAACTCACCCGTTGCTTCGATAATTTTTGAGATTGATCTACTCTTGTACACCGCACCTTCATGAATTTCAGATTTCTTTATTTTATTTTTTATACTCTCTTCAAATTCATCTTGAAGTGCGAGATAATCCCATTCTACCATTATATTAAGAATTTCATTTGCCGTTGGCCGTTTTGATGGATCCGAAGCCCAACAACGAACCATTAGCTCTCGGTAATATTTCGGCATATCATCAGGAATAACTGGCCGAATTCCATCACAAATATCGAAAATGAGTGCGATATCATGACTACAATTATTAAACGGGCGCTCTCCAATCCAAATTTCCCACATTATCATTCCAAAGGAGTAAATATCACTAGCTGTAGTGTATTTTTTGGTTTGCAGGACTTCAGGTGCCACATATGGTATTATGCCAAACACCTCATCATCCATAATTTTGGTAATTTTTCTACATAGCCCAAAATCTGTTATATGTAATGAATTTAAACTGCATAAAATATTGCCACTATGCAAATCCCGATGAATGTAATGACGTTCATGTAAAGATTGTAATGATATAGTTAAATCAAGTAAGTGATAACATAAATAACGATGAAAAATATTCCCGTTTTTAATTAGATCGTATAGTGAACCAACTTCATAAAAGTGTAGGACTAGAATATAATTTTCCGTTTCTGAATCTCTAGAAATTCCAAATATTCTCGCCATATTATAAAAGTGACTATTGATAATGGCAGATTGGATCTATATATTTATATATGTGTGTATTTAAATAATATAAATTAAAATTAATTTTAAATTTAACTTAATATTTACTTACTTCTTGAATTGTATTACAATTTGCATTACTTGAATTGAATAGCATCTTTAGTGCAACGGGACTTGGACCTGCTCGAACTAATTTCCTTTGATTTCTATTGAAACTAATTACATAGCCCGAATTCCAAATTGCTTTTGATACGCTGCCAAAACCGCCTTCAGCAATTAATTCTATTTCACCAAATTCTTCATACTCAACCCACTCGAGCCAAATTTCAAATTGAGCTTTTTTGATAATTTCAAGTTGAGCTTCTTTGATAATTTCATCAATTTTTTTATTTTTGCTACTCCATGGGGGGAGATCACAGATAGAACAAAGCTGATAATAAATGTTCAATTTTTCATGACATTTTGAGCAATTCACTTTTTTTTCGTTATTTGACAAATACATAATAAAGTAAAGTGTAGATGCAGTAGACATCTCTAAGTTGAACTCTAATGAGGCAAAACCTTCTTATATAAAAGCTATAGTCCGACGCCGAACAAAGAGGTTACTATGTATGCTAATGGATTAATGTTTTTGTTTAATTTTAAATAGCATTTACAACCATTATATTATTTATAATGTTATCTGCCATGCATCATTATTTATAGCATAGTATTCCACTAATTAAAACTATTGATTATTTATTTTACATTAAAAGATACGAAGAAAAGAATCGCATTATACATTTATGAATGGTATCTACCTGTGAGAACATTAAATTTTATACACTGTATATACCTAATAAATGATCATGCCACTAACTTCCGATTTTGCAATTCGTCATAAAACTCCCTCCTTTTTTTAATTTAGATTTTTATAGATAATAATAATTGACAATACCCATTATCGTTATAATGTATGTTATAATTAAAAACTTTATTGTACAAGTATTTAGTTTCTTTTATCATATATTGGATATTACAAATTTGTCTAAAACTAAAATCTAATACATATATGCATCATTCAAATCGTTTCACAGCCGTTATTAATTTGTGAGACAGTGGCATTTACATGTACATGTAATTCAAATTTATTTGTAAAACCGTCATCATTTAAAACAACGATAATAACTTTAAAGAGGAAACGTTTCACAAAAATAGATAAAGTTAAGGAGTTTTTTCGTAAAATTATTAATCCGAAATGACTACGCCAATAGTGAACAACAACATCTACAATTTTAGAAGATTGATGAACGGTCTGCTAAAAAAAAATACACACGTTAACAAAGATTCCTACCTCGACTATCTATTATAATCTTCAAAAACAGGCAACGTGAGACACTCAATATGTACGAAGGGATATCCCTATACTACCAGAAGTTGGTGATTAAATTAAATAAAGTGGCATCACAACCAATTATTGCATGATATTTAAACTTCCTATAATGATGTTCCGAAAGCTATACCAATGCTTGCACCATTTCATAAAGCAAAACGAATCGAATGGACGAAAAAACACCAAAATGATAAATAGAATTGAGGTTTTATGGATGAAACTATTTTCAACTTTTTACAATTGAATGGTGGTATAAGGGATCAAGACCAATTTGACAAATTTATAAAGATCAAGCCAAAAGCTTCACATGACTGGATTTTGTAAATCGGGCAAAACAAATTTATTTCTTTTAAACAAATAATGGCTGTGAAATAATATGTAGAAAGGTTAGAAAGCATTTTATTGAAATTAATGCGTCATTAGGAAAAAAATGATAGCTCCAATAAAAACAATAATCCTAAACATAAAAATCATCTTGCCAAACCATTCCTTAAGAAAGTGTCCTCAAGTAATTGACTGGCCCTTAATCCAGATTTAAATCCAATCAAAGAATGAATTAGTATCATTTACTTTGATTAATTAGATAGTAATACATATATAAAATTGTGGTGAATGTATTTCTTACTAAAATTATAATAAATAAACTTCAAATTATTATTAAAAGATATTAATATTTATCATAAATAATTAAGTAATTGTAAAGTAATAATTATTTCTTTTCCAAATAATTTTGAATCATAATATATCTATTATTATAAGTACTCTTTCTTACTATTCAGATAAGATTAAGTACAAAAAAGCATAAAATTAGTTATTTAAGCTGTGAAAAAAAGTTTTAGAGGCAAACTACAAAAATTATAAGTGGAAATAAAACAAGAAACAAAAGAAAATCTAGAATTCTTTGTCTATTACTATGATAATAAAAAAATCTAAGAAACTATATTATGAACAAGAAAACAAAATGAAACAAGAGTATGAAACAAGTATAAAACAAAAGTAAACAGGAAGAAAAGTATAAACTTCTAATAAAAGTTAGTAATAAATATATTTAAATACAAGATTATACTTATTTTATAATAAAGATACTCTACTTTAACTCAGAATAACTCAGAATAAAACTAAATTTCAAAACTGAAATAATGAATTAAATAACAGAATTATATTAGTTTAAAGTTAAAGTATTTAACTTTAACTCAAATACTTAATATCTCAAAAAATAAAAATTAAAAATAATATTTATTATACTCACTCTGAATTCTTCGATTTATAATAAGATAGTAATTATTTAATTTAGAATCTGAATTAATCGACTATATATAAGTAAAATTATCTATAAGTAACTTAGAAAAATCTTAATAATTACTTAATATTATATTAAATATTTTGATACTTTATTTTTTTGTTATTAAAATCTTTTATTTTTTATTTTTGAAAAAAATACTATCATTTATATATTTTTTGAAAATAATATTGAAATAAAAAGAATAAACTATAATATATAATTATTAAATATAAAAAAGAAAATAATTAATAATAATAAAAGATAACAAAATAATAATTTTAAATTTTTATTAAATATAAAAAGAAATATTATAGTCTAAATTAGAAAAAAGAATATATACTATACTCAAATTAATGACTTATTTCTAAATTTAATAAATAAGTAATTTAATATAATTTTAATATAAAAAAATATTAAAAAGAATAAAAATGATATCATAAAGAGTAAAAAAAATAAAAATAATATAGAATATAATATAAATAAAATAATAAAATTAAAAATTATAACTTATATAATTTAATATAATTATATAAGATTATAAATTAATAATTTTTTATTAATATAATAATATTATATTTTCAAATTAAATACTTTTATTTTTTATTTATTTTTTATACTGTAAAATATATTTATTTAAAGTAATCTGAATTTATTTTTTGAAAATAAAAAGAATTATATTCAAACTTAAATCTATTTTTTATTTATTTATAAATTTAATATTAATATATTTTAATAATTTAATCAGTTTATTTTTATTTTTTAGATTATTTAAATTTAGTTTTATATAATTAAATAATATCTTTAGCTAGATTACTTAATAAATTATTAATTTTTATATAAAAAAGATAATAATATAAAGTTATATTTTTAATAAATATATAGTTAAATAAATTAAATTTATTTAAAGAAACATAATAATTTATTTTTATTTTTCAATTTATAAAAAATTTTTATATATTATTAATTATATAAATTAAAAGCTAAATATAATAAATATATAAAGATCATATTAATTTATAGCATAGTTTTATTAAATTATATATATTAAATTATATTAAATTTATATTAAATAAAAATTAAAGAATTATAATAAAATTTTAAGTAATAATCTTTAAAATTTATTATAATATATTTTAAAATTTATAAATAATATATTATAAAAATTTTTTAATTTAAATAAAAATCTATAAAAAAATAATAATATTTTAATAATAAAAATATTTTATATATATTTTTTAGTATTTAAGAATAAAAAATAATATAATTAATAATAAAACTTAGTAATATTTCTTATAAACTTGAATTAAAGTTCAAAAAACTCATATTTTTCAAGTTATTAACATAAAGTCTTTTAAATATTATTTTAAATAAGATTATTTATTAAAATTTAATAAATTTTTATTTATAATAAAGAAAAATATAATTAAAATTAATTTTTTTATAATACTTATAAAACTTTTATATATAATATAAATATAAAATTTTTTAAATATTTTTTTATAAATTTTTAATCTAAAAAACACTAATATTTTTAATAAATAAAATATATATAATATATTTTTCTATATTTTTTAAGCTAAAAAAATATAGTATTTTTTTAAAAAATATATATATAGTCATTATTGTGAAATTACTTTTTAAAATTTGTTTAAAAATTTTTACAACATATTATATAATATGAAGAAATAGAATACATTTCAATTATTCTAGCTATTAACTAAGTCATAACTATTTGAGACATCAAGAACTTATATTAATATATTATTAAAATGTATAAAATACTTTTAGTAAAATGAACTATCTTTTAGCTGATGATTATTAGTGAGAAATATATGAAATAAGCGCAATATATCTAATATCTAATTTTGTTTATATTTAATTATATTTTCATAATATAAAACAAAGCACAAAGATTATTATTGAATTATAAAAAACAAATTTAATTGAAAAAAATAACAAAATAGTATTTCAAAAATAGAAATATATTATAAATTATTACAGAATTTGAAATTTAATTGAATTAAAAAATTTATAGAATGCTTCTTTATATTAATTCAGGCATTAAATGAAAATTTATAGATTTGTAACAAGACTGTACAAGTGACTTTTCAGTGAGCATAGACAAAGTTTATCTGAAGAAGTTAAGAATGAGATGAGATGTTTCAGTTGAGAACTGAATCAATACGAACTAGTTCTTACATAGAACCGAACTAGCACTGACCGAATTTGAACCTCATATTTATAAAGAATTATGATCTGGTTATGAAGTTAACTTCTGGAAATTGCAGTTTTTATATGAAGCATAGGACTTGCATTCCAGTAATAAAAGAAGTAAACCAATTGCTTTAGTATTTTACGACTTTATAGACTTTATCTACTCTCAAGATTTAGAATTGAAGTGATTGCTGAATGCATTCGCAACTTCCAAGACAAAAGAAGAATTAACAAAAAAAAAAAAATCAAACTCAAATTTGCACATGCACCTCAATAAGTAAAATAATTATACTAATAGTTTGCACTTGTCTTTCGAATATCGAATTTTATTGTATAATTGTATTTAAATAAATATTATCGAATACACGTCAACCTCTCTATAACGACACCATAAATTTCGTTTTCACTATAGAGAATCATTCATTATAGAGAGGTAAATTTATATAAAATATCTTTGCCATTTTTGTTTTTTAGTATAAATAATATAATGAAATACTTTCAAAATTGTAAATTCAAATAATGAACTAAAATAATGTCTCATTTATAAGAAATTTATTAAAGATGACGGTTATAAAAATATGTATTAGGCCATGTTCAAATTACTTTTTTGGGAGTATAGGAAATAATACATGTACATGTAATATAAATTTTATGCTCGAACCAA